TTTCTTGTTGATCTTGTTTATCATATTTTGAGGAGCTTTACTCTGTAAACAAGAATCTTACGTACTCATTTATTGTGTTGTATTATTGTCGTGGTTTTGTTTAATTCTTGCATTGTTTTTATTATTTTTCTGTTTGTATTTTGCAAAGGATATAAGGGATATATGTTTCGGACATCTATTTTCTTTGCAATTTTTTTGTTTTTTTGTTTGTTTTTGTTTAATTAAATTTTTGATAATAGTGTATGTACTTTAAAAAACCCATAGATAATCAGATTGTTAAATCATAGTTGAAAGACACCTTTCTCCTCTGAATGTTACCGTTAAGTGCTTACAAATAAAATAAGTACATGACATTCTTGCTGAGACCCTTTGCTATTACGTTTAGAAATTATAACATTCGAGGTGATTTGAATGAAGAGAAACGATTCCGGAGACAACCTTACAATATTCGAACTGAAATTGGCAACATAATCCGAAATGGAACTTTTTTCTTTGTTCTGTTTGTCGCTTGTAGTGTTTGGGGGCGTGGACTATAACTTGCACCTACCAGGATCGTCATGAACATGTCAAATTAAACCGAGCCTGCAACATTTTCAATTTTGTTGTTTTGGACCATCTTTAGGGATTCTGTTTTCCTTATTTTAGTTTTGTGTTTAAATACAACAAACACTATACATATAATATATAAAATATAAAGATTAATGTTTCTAATTGTATTATTGCGAGAAGAGTAATATATTATTTAACAAGACCGATATATAGCTTTGTGATTGCCTCACTTTCTTGTTGATGCTTCGATTGTTTTGTTTGACTGGATGCTGCCAGTGACTTTGTTCCGTTACCTGTAATTCTGTTGTTTGTATTTGTACTCATATTATTACTGTTACATTGAACAAAAGTGTCGCTAAATTTATGAGTTGTTTTAATTTGGAAAAAGTTTGAACACAAGTATTGTACGCCATAGTGTTGTTCTCTGTGCAAATACATTTTTTTTAAATATAGGCTTTCTCGTAAAGTCATTGAAATAAAACGCTTCTGTTTGACTAGTCTGTATGTTTGTAACCACAATAATATTTGCAAACCAATGGCCTCAATGACGTTTTTGCGAAAGCTTCCTGTTGGCGTATCGAAATATGATATTGGCCTCAAATGACCATTCCTTATCCAAATCTAAACTTTTGTAAGAATATTATTTATGAACAGGTCATGTGGTTTTTATAAACATTTGTTTTGTCTTTTTTAATTGTTTGCTAGTTTTTAATTTGTTTACATTATAATTACCCATTATCGTATAATCTTTTATTGAATTATTATTATTATTTCCTTTTTTGTTTGTTATTAAAATGTTTAAAATACAAATGATTCAATTTGTGATTAAAAACATTTCGCTTTAACTTTATTCATGTATTCATCTTAACATTAAACGTTTTATGTGATAAACATAATGTTAAGACGAGCTGAATGTTAGCGTTATACAATAGGCTTCTCAATGAAAAATGGTTCTTTTTCAATTAAAACGGTCTTTATTTTTGGTATGTGATATATAGAATATTAAAGTCGTGTAAGTTTAATACTTAATTTATTAATCCGTTAAATGGTTTGCATGGTCGTGTTTATATAACGCATATGACATCACGTCAAAGTACACGACCGTGCAATAAATCACTTTTTACGAAGACGCAAAACCAGCATGGGTATGTGATAAACAGAGTAAATGGAATGAGTGCATCAACCGACTAAAAAAGCTAATACATGTATCAGAAACACTGAGGCGAGAACAAATTTAACCACTACCAGTATAGTTCAACTATAGTCTTTCCTGACGTGTTAGAATAGAAAAACATCTTGATTTTGTTTGCTTTGTTTGCTCTGTGTTATACATATAGCACAATATGTCGTTCAGATGTCAGAGGCTTACGTGATTATATTACTGCACATCTAAACTCTATACCGTGTCAAGATATAGTTCGTTGTTAAACCACCCTGCAATTTATTTTCTCACCTTGGTTACAAGGTTCTCATCATTCGAGTTTTAACAACTTGTTTGCCTAAGAACATTAAGGCAGTTTTACAATACGAATTTTCCATAGAAACGGATGTTGCATTTCGTGCATGCGCACTCTGCGTAAGGCAGAATTTCTAAAAAAAGAATATATAATATCGGTATTCAACAATTTCATAAACAACTTGATGAAATGTGAAAGATTAACCATTAGCTTAGAAAAGTTCATTTTGATAAATAATTGGTGCACGAATGTTTGCTAGTGCAAAATAAAGCACTAAACTCAAATCGTGAATACGAATGTTATGGGCAATATTTCTCGTTCTATTCTCATTTTCCACCATGGCATGCGTTCAGAGTAATGACGTTTCGTATACGTCAAATAATGACACTTAGAAAAGAAAAAATAAGCATAACTGTCACATTTGTAAGGACCATCTTATCGTCCTTCATGTTGTCTTGAAAAAAAATCGCGACAAAATATCCATACATTTATTTCTATAGTAGAGCTATAAATTTGACTATAAAAAGTTATTCTAAACTGCAGTGAACAAAAGAAATGTCAGTTTAAGAGTTACATAAATGAATAAACAAACTTAATGGAAAAAAACAAACTCAAAAACGTTTTTTTTGGGTGTACATTTTAAACATTTAAGGGAGCATGCTTAATCACAGGATTTGAATCTTTTTTATTTTGATCATCTTTTTATTATTTTTGTTCGCCAGTGTTATCCATTTGATTCCACTATGAACTTAGACTTCGAAAAAATTGTAGGCAGAATCAATTACATATACATGTGTAACGCAGTATCTTGATTTTTTGAGAGTGTGCCCAGTATCATAATGTCTATTTCCTGTGAATAGTTTGTTTAAAGACATTTTTTGTACAAAGAATAATAAAGAATGAACATATTTTTGTGAAATAGTTTATTGTGATTCTACAATTAACTATCTTCCACCTGTGTGAAACTCAGTTTAATTGACAATTTCTCAATTTCTGTAACATTTCAACGACGGGTGTACGCAGTATCCAGAATCAAAATCGCATTCAACGCGAAATACTGACAAGAAAGGGAAGACTTGTATCAAGGCATTTGGAATATTAAAACTAGAAGTTAAAAGAAATTAAATTTAAATATATTCCGATTGCTTTACACGACTCGTTTTGGTTCAAAGTATCGGTTGAAAAAGTGTTCGCGGTATCAGAATTTTGAGGATGCGCGCGCATGGTATAACCCCTTGTTTAAATGATAACCATGGCCATATACAATGTCTTATATATTCGTTTCAACTTGAGACAACCAGTCCCTAATTTAAACAAGGCTGCTTCACCAAGAGATTATGCAGAATTTAAAGATTCGTTCCATGTCAAATAAGCTTTGTTATCTTGTAATACATTTAGGAGAATTTTCTTATTTATGGTTTTGGCTGCAAGTCTTCTATGTTGCTAGCCTGTCAACTTACTAACGATTTGAGTATACCATTTTAATAAACAAAAAATAAGTTGTAATAAATATTGACTGACATTCAGCAGGGGGTTTGTATTTAACACTACAAGTGCTTTTCAAAGCCTCACAATTCCATAGACAAGACAAAAGTTACAAAAGAGATAATTTTTTTATATTACAGTTCTTCGTGATGAAGTATACGATCTCGTATTATTGTCATATTGGAGAGACTAGGTTTGGTATACTTCACTGATACTTTTTCCCGACTTCCCCCCCCCCCCACGACAGTTTGACTAGATAATATTTAAATGTCGGTTAACAACGAGCAAAGGCATCCTTTAGATCAAGGATAGGATTGATTTGATGAAATACTCCCAGTTATTGTGTGATCGTTATAGAGTAAGGGAACACAGAAACAGTACGAACTGTCATTGATATTATGGTGCACGAGATTGAATTCTCTCTTCAATATAGATGCAATTTCGAAACAAAATACCCAAAATGAGACAGCTTAAATCTTTAGCAAATGTTAACTTTTTACAAGAAAGCATCTTAAGTGACTCCCTTTACCATGTAAATGCTGCCCCACTTTGTTGTGACCGGAACACGATCCTAGTCTTTGATTTTTTGAAAAAAGGAATTTATTTAAAACCAACTTCTTTTAGAAAGTACCCTTTACAACGGAAGTGTCGAGGGCTGTCATTTAAAAAGAGAACCAAAATGTGGAAGAACGAAAATGTGGAAGAGCCACTGTTTTGTAGGTGTAGCGAAATACCTTCAAAGTGTCATTCAAGACGAGACAATTTGTTAAGCAAGAACGACTTGTATGACAAAGCGATCATTATCGACTTATTCGGAAGAAATAGGGTAATTTATTAACTAGTCTACTTCAGATATTTTTTAAGTACCAAGTTGACAATTTAATGTTGTCCAGCCTACAGTTTAGAGCCTGGTCAAACCAAGGATTTATAGGCTGGTGTGGCTCTATGTTGCTGACAAAGCGCTATTAGTTCCGGTAGAACAACCTTTAGATATTTTAGTTAACACGTTCTTTGTTGGGTGAACGATATTCATATGAAACCAGGCATTAGATTCTTATAAAATGCTTAGCAACAGTGATCAGACTTGTTAAGGTTGGTATATTGGCAAAACAAACGGGTTGAATCGGGTGATGCTCCAGGAATAGTTTTTGGACACAGGAAAGTATATATCTTGTAGTGTCAAGAGTTATGTCACAGACAATGTTCAAAGTGTAAAAATGAACAAAGGGCAATAACTCCAAAATTAGGCAAGACAGAGTTCTGGTTTTTCTGCATTGCACTTCTACCCAATGAGATCTGCCTACAAAGTTTCATGTTGATATCTCCGATAGTTTCAAAGTTTTGTCCTGGACAAGATAGCGGACGGACTGACGGACGGGCAGACGGACAAAGCGGCGACTATATGCTCACCCTTCGGGAAGCATAAAATGAGTCCGTAACCTGCTATAATTTGATGTTGAAAGACGTATAATCCTCTTACTGTATGGTATATAAAAAAATAAAGCCAGCAATTTTAAAGTACATTTTAATATTTTCTCATAAACAAGTAAAGACATTCACTATAACGGTTACACCATAACGGCCAAGTCTTACCCGGCTGTTGCCTGAAATGATATATAACAATGTAAATTGACAAATATGTGCTATTACAAGAGACAAATTTTAATTTCAATATGCCTGTTTTAATATACTTAAGCTTTAGTAAAATCCAAAATCGTTATGCTATCAAACGCTTGATTTTCAAATGAAAACAAATTCTTATATTTAAACAAATATTGTTCGCAAATTTACGCTTCTGGTAGACTGGCAAAATAACTTACATACGTCAATAAAATAAAGGATGTATAAAAAAGTGTAAACATCTATTTTGAGCAGAGGTGACTGAATCAAGAAGCATCTAACTATCTTCATTCAAGAGACCGCTCCATGTACAGACCATATACATATATTTATCACAATAACATTAAAAATCATTGATGTAAAAGCAAAAGTGTAAAATTCTATTTTTAGCACCGGTAACCTTAAACCAAATGACGCAATAGTCCACCCATACTTAAGAGAAATAACAAAATGATTACCCTTCAAGTATGCATTATATCCGTCAACTTATAAAGACTGTATACGGAAAAGTAAATATATATCTAGTAATTAGCACTGTTGACCTTGTCCCCAGTGCCCTAAAAGTTCAAAGTGTAGAAGACCGCCCAGTGCGGTTGGACATCGGTCAATAAATCATGACTGTATTAAAAATGTGTAATATATATTATTGCCCTGCTAACCTAAAACCTAGTGATATTCAGTCTATTCATTTTTTTCTATACAAAAGGAAATGAGAAGACCACAAGAAACTGAAGAGTTTGTGTTACATAAGCATAAGTTACGTAAATTTAATAAATTTTACCAAAATTGTGCCGAGTGTCCATGAAGCTAATACGAGACCAAATAAACGCTTTTCTGGTTTTGTTCCTTCATGTAAGTCGTCTGGAGATTGTATAGTGTCAGCCAATGTCCTCTCACACAATTCATATAGATCTCTCGCTTCCTCAAGCACAATACTCGACATTTCTTCGATTGTCCATTCGGCGTTTGGTGTAGATTCACTTCTCAGTTCTAAAATGCATTTTCGAAATTGCTAATTAAAAAAAAAACCTTTAAGTTAATATAAATGATACTGGCCTAGATTTGCCAAAGGTTTATCCATTCTTCAATTCTTGCAAACAAAATATCGTTTTTTTTATATTTTTCAAGTGCCATAATTGCATGTATACTTTTGAAAGTGTGCACGACATACATGCATACACCAACTCTGCCATCCCCACCTTTATCGCATAAGTTTTATATTTGAATTAGTATTTCTCACATAGCGCTTTAGGTTTAATGTTTTACCTGGTGGGCTGAATGGCCTAGACTTCTCTGGACGAGACTTCATTTTCAAAACAGCTTTAACATTGTCCCTTTCAGCTAGAAGGTTCGTACCTGCGCATTGAAAAAATATTGTTGTCATTTACACAACATTGTCAATTAAAGTGACAGAAATGATCTATAATAGAACGTCTATAAAGCAATTACGTTGATATTAATATTAAGTATAAGACATGGTATTAGACATTATAGCAAACCACAAAAGAATCGTGTTTGGCTATAGTTGGTAATTACTAGATTCGATAAACATTTATCCATTGTATATTTATCGATTTTACATATATAATTATCTATATAGTAGATACAATGTAATAAAATATTCTAGAACAATTAATATGAAAATTCATACTTATTGAGTACTTAGTCAACATCTTTTGATCAATATTATGAAATAAATTGCATATTTTTATTGTTTCAGTATTTGAAATACTCATTTAACCTGCGCATTATTTACCACTCCTCTTACAAAAGCATGCGTTTGTTGCTGAAGTTACCAACACTACTCTGTAGTACCTCAACTTTGATATCACGCAATTTTAATGATAAGTGGACATTGCAAGATTCTGGCATTCAGCATTCTTTGCGTATGTGTATTTATGACGTACAAATGCAAAATAGTGTATACAAATTGTTAGCTGAAGTTACTACTCCGTAGGTTACTAACCTACAAAACAATTTCAATAACTATAGTAAACATTACGAGATTCTGGCAAATCTTCATTCAGTATCCTTCAGTATATTCATTTGTTATGTCTTGGTTATAAACACTGATAAAATTTGATACTTCATTTGAAGTAGACCAACAATTTAGCTACTTACATTGTAAAAGACCAAAATTCTTTTCACCAAATTCTTGTACTTCCTCTTTGATGCTTTCTTTCGACTCCTGTAAATACAAAATGAAGGTCAATGAACTGATACCCCAGTGTACAATACAACTCACTTTGATTGGATCAAAGGTTAAGTGGGTTTGAAATATTTATAATATTCAATTGATTGTTATTTAGTCATTTAAATTAGTAGGTTCCTACGATAATTGTAATTTTAGGATTTAAGGGAACATACTTGCAACAATTATTATACGTATTCATTGAATTCATATAGACCAGAAGTGAAATACAATCTGAGACTTTTCTATTTAGTTCGCTATGCAAGGCATGTGTAAATATTAATATTTAAATTTAGAAATCGTATAATGGAATCACTATTAAGAAAAGTTTAACATTAGTTATACATGTATCAATATTATAAAGAGAAACTTGTGTATTACAAATGGGTGTTTTAAAACAGGGAAGTAATGCTCATGTCAATCCATGCACAAGTATGCTCACTTTACAAATGGCTAGAATGTAAATTTCAATAACAAATGAATATTAATACGTTACTGAAATGCATATTCACGACGGGATAAATTAGAATTAAATCTCGTATATCGGTAATTAAAAATGTAAGATATACATGTTTACACGATTAAAATTCCTTTAATGCCTCAAATTTATAAAGGGTCAAAACTGACACTAAATAAGAGATAATTCAAATATTAAATCCTTATTTACATTCATATTGTTGCGTAGTTCCATTAAGTTTAATCGGCATGGGAAAAATACAAGAATGCATGCATAACAGTCATAAATGGAGCATAAATTTGTCCCATTAAGTAGGACTTTATAATTGTACAGGCAAACCTGTGAAAAACGACCATCCAAAGGAGATGCCATGCATTACCTTCATAAACAAGTGGTCTTAATGGACTGTAAAAGCTATTTTTGAAATTTTGAAAATTTCCTCTGCGTGGAATTTATGTATTATAGAAACGGGTAAGCACACGGAATATTTCAAATTTACTATTAAATACTATATAAATAGTATCGTATCCATGTAATTTAAGCAGAATAAAAACAGAAAAATAGTTGACAAAAACAATCGTACTTACAGCTTTGATCGCTTCCAATATACGTGGACAAGCTTCAGTCAGAAATTTGTTTCGGCCTATAAGATATAATTATACAAAATAATTATATATCCATGCATTATATCTTAAAAAGACGATGTTTGTTAATACATGTATCAAATGTCGCAGAAAGTGCCAATTTTAAAAAAACTGGCCGACTGATCGCAACAGCTGATTTAAAGCGATATTTCAAAGTGTTTTCCAAAAATCAATTTAAAAATATTAGAGTTTGGCGTCTGTAATGGTTTTCTTACAACGTGTAAAAAATAAATACAACATTGAAACGACGTTATTTAAATTATCGTGAACACATGAAAATACGTGTGGCAAATAAATAATCTAAAATAGCATAAAAAGATCAGATTGAATTTCTTACTTTCATAATGTTTTGACAGGAACATAGACAATTCAAATATTTCCTTTGCAATTGATGTAATAAGTAAGTAACTTACGTCTGTTGGGCATCATCTGGGCTACAGCTCGTGACGTTATACATCTACCAATCAGACTTGTAACTAAATATAGTAAAGTAAACATTTATGCATTAATGCATCTTATGCAATAATTGTTGGCCTTCACGTCACATTATTAAGGGTATTTAAAGCTATGTAGTGAACTATTTTATAACATTGATAATTTGATAATAAATCTATATAATTATTGTAGATTCTTAACACAGACTTTATTCTCCTATGAATATAAAAAAAACATATATTTTGTCTTCATAAGGAGCATATGGCAACATCATTCACAGCTTATAAGTGGAGGGAGAGCTATATATACCTCTTAATTCAACTTGGAAGTTGGCACCAGAGCAGAACCAGCGATCTTTTGTAAATTTTCAAAGTCCATGACGGGATTCAAACCAACAATGATAATGATAACATGACTATGATAAACTGACTTACATTCCATCATTGCGTATGGCCAGTTTTCGTAATCTATTTCTGGAATGTCGACATCAGGAACCTCATTATCTGGGGAAGATGGATAGCTCTCTGTGGGAATGGGCTCTTCGGTCGTCACTCCCCTAGACCCAATGAATGCTCTATATTCTAAAAACATACAATACTATTGTATACTTTGTTTATTAAAATGATGTTTGAACCAAGTCACATTGTATATCAATTATTGGTTAAACTACATGTATAACATTTTAGATAGCAATAAAACATAATGTTTCCTTTCCTGATGTAAACACCAGTATTTAACAACTTCTCTCCGTGTAGAACACGTGCTCTTTTTCAAATAAAATATGGTGCAATGTAAAAATTGTATTATCCGCGGACAGAACACTGCACTTCTCAGTGATGTATAGTGTAACGAAAACATAGAATTTCGAGCATATGCACAATTGATTTGAAGGTATATTGTTCTTTTATAGTCGAACGCCTTGACAAAGCAAGTGTGCTAAATAAATAAAGAGAAATGATTAAGGTAAAATGACTATCTGCCTTTAAAATGCATTTAAAAATTGATTTTAAACAAATATCCAAGTTCTCAACATTTCTGTTTAGTGTACCTAAACAGAAAGGTAGTCAGAAAGGGGCATAACCACTTAGGAAAAAACAAATTAAAGGTAACCATGTGTAAATAAGACGGTGTATCATTTACTGCATAAAAACTGTACCCCAAGAATAGCACATGCATTTTTACGGATTGACTGTCGTGACGATGCGGCAAAGCTGTGCGATTTTAAATATTTTAGATATGTAAGTCTCGATGCAATTTAATAATTGCTTAATGCTTATCAGAAAATAACTGCCAAATGATATCGCACTAGCACCTGGCATTAGCAATGGTTTCTTTATACATGTACAAAATGCAGAGTACAAAACGTAATGTAAAATTACCGCTCTAGAAGTATATCGCTGTATAATCTTATGAAATAATAGCTGTATTTCACCATTCTTTATGCACCGACATCGACTTTAGTTTTCGGACTTAAAAAATAATCACCCTGCAGGCTCTGGCTTTTTACGAGTCGTAATTCTGTGCAGAAACTCTTGCCTGGTTTGCAAAGAAACGAGCTTGAAATTTTTCTGTGCAACCAATCAGCTACGTTCCTTGTAAACTAAGTATTTAAATGCTCTGCACACTATACAAAACTATAAATAACTTACCTTGTAGAAAATATCGTCGTTGAAAATCCGTACTGCGGCTATCAACAACGCACAAGAAGACCACGCACAAAGGAATTAAAACTTGAAGCTGCATTATTTCCTCTAATGTCGTCTGTCCAAGAAGAATAGTGAAGATGTTACTGCATGTGCCAGTATTTATACCCGTAGCTACACGAGATGAGGCCCGGTCCAGGTGAATAAAACTATATTTTCACTCTTTGTGTATTTATCTCGCAAAATCAAGAAAAATGTATTGCGTCTAAATGACGTACAAAATAAACCTTTCACTTAACTTTACTGCGAACAACAAAACACTATTAACAACAAGCCTGTCAATAACAACACAAATGAAACAAAACAATGCACAAATTATGATATTAGCTCTTTAGCATAATAATTTTTCACCATTGGTTCGATTCTATATGATGACAAAAGCCAAGTTTATAGAATCATTGTCTCAAAATTACAAACAAAAAACAATGACAATATGAATGGCAGAAATAAGCATTTTTTTTCAAGAAATAAAAATCATATTATATAATATTAGACTATGTAAAATACAGCTGATGATATTAATGGTTTTGAGCTATTCGTCAGTATTCAATCAATGTGATAAAACAGTTCTAAAGCAGTTAATTTCTTATTCAAGCCAGTTGCTTGTTGACAAATAAAACAACAACAATCTCTGTATAAAACTGGAATTGGAGTAAGGGTGTTAACTTGTATTGGATAAGTACTTTCCTTTGGAGTTGAATGTGGTGGTGGTGCCTTGGTACAGAGGTCAGGCAAGGAAATGTATATATTTCGAAGATAACTTCGATGCTGTTCAAATGCTGCATTTTTTTTTATCAATTCGGGTTATTGCCCTTTTTATTTTCGGGATATTAACATTGTTTAAGTCTAAAATCCAAGAAATATATATTTTAGATATAGAACGTGACATCCATCATGATAAACTTTTCAAACTCTCGTTTGCTTTAATTACTTCAAGTCTTGGTTTGCTCCAACAGTTTGTCACACTAGTCTGGTTCCCTGCCTACATTTACGAAAGAAAGAAAATACTTAATATAAGGGGAAGGAACTCCAGACTAATGAAGCAACTACAAAATAGTGGATTCGTAAAAAAGTACAAGACAAATGTAACCACGATTTATCCCATGAGGATAATTGCAAATTACAGTGGACATTTACTGAGCTGTTAACTATCTGACTGTCCGGCATTTGCTTATGGTTTTTATGATATAAAAGTGTCTGCTATTCAATTTGGATCGGGCCGATGTTTAAATAGACTTGTTTATAAATTCAATTAAGAATTCAATATTTCTCAGAGGGGCCTCTTTCAGAAAAGCACATGTTGTATATATCACGATATTCTCGTGCAAAGCGAAAAGCATGAAGTTATACATGCGTCTTAATGATAGGAAAATTAAACATGTACATGTGTACATTGAAGTTGTGTTATAAGCATATATTGTTAATAGAATAGACAATTACTCTTACACTATTATATAACACATTTTCCTGTATATTAAAGTAATTACAATATCGTCGGAGAGAACATTATTTCAAATTATCATACTGAACTAAAAGGCTGAATACGTAATTATATGAAGAATGTGACCTTCAAGAAGCTTTCATTTTTTGTAATATCTGCTGATTTCTTTTCTTTGAAATATAAAACTTTTATGTACTTTTTGTCATTTAAAATGTTAATGATTTTATGAAAGACCATTTCATACTAAATGAATTTCCGATATAATCTCCATGAAATTGCCATTTGTTTAAGACTTCCGACAATTTGTAACGCTTCAAAATTGATAAATACAGAAAGAAAAAATTAAGAAAAAATAAAATGAAAATAAAAAAGACAACACGTGCTTTATTTATGAGTAGTTGTACCAGAATTCCAAGCGCAAAGAATTTGTTGATATCGATAAGTAATATTATTAATAAAAATTACATCGATTGATACTCGATTTTGGTATGATTATTTCCATGAATGGTAACTGTATAAAAAGCAACCAGTCTAACATGTATACTGTAGAGTATACTGAATAAGTGTAAGTTTAATACTGAATTTTTTTGAACGAGTTGAATAAAATTATATTAATATGCGAGCCTCTTATTTTATTTAAGGAGTTCAATAAGCTTAGTAATGAATTTTGCCTGAATTTAATATTCTATTTATCACATTCTAAGTGAAAAAGACCCATTTTCATCGACGCGCCTATAGTATACCGCTAACATTTAGCGTGTCTTAACGCTACTGCAAATGACGTCACGTCAAAATATATGCATGGCCGGAGTCGCAAAAGCAACGGGTATGTGATAAGTAATAGAAAGAGCATCGAAACACGAGGCTATCTGATTTGTAAGAGGGGGCGTAGCCCCCGAGTATAAATCAGATTGCCGAGTGTTTTGATGTTCTTTCTTTTTTGTCACGTTCCCTGTAACCAATGAACGCGCATCTGAATATGATATTTCTGTCGCTTTCACTCACTCTGGCGCCGCAATATGTGAACCCCAGCAAAAATGAACCAATCAATGAGCATGCTCTGGAGTCCGGTTAACTAATACCTGCACTCCAGTTAACGCACTGTGCATGTATATGTATACGATTTATTTCTGACACATTTTCAACAGAAAGGTCCCCAAACTATGATACAAATGAAGGTTATTGAGGTTACTGAGGTAGAAAATCTCTATTTAAATTCTGAAACCACACTGATGAAGCAACCAAAGGTATACACAACCTGAAAACTCAAAATATAATGTGGAATATATTAGTTAACCGGGTGAGAGAAAGAGCATCGAAACACGAGGATATCTGATTTGTACTAGGGGGCGTAGCCCCCTTGAGTATTAATCAGATTGCCGAGTATTTTGATGTTCTTTCTCTTTTGTATCTTAGTCAAGCATTATAACAGGCTGCCTGTTTGTCAAAATATGACACCCCAGATAAAAGTAGCCAATAAAAGAGCATCTGCATATGATATTTCTATTTCTTTCCCTTTCTCTACCGTCACAATAAGTTAACCCCAGCAAAAATGAGCCAATCAATGGGCATGCTCTGAGTGCGGGGAACTGATACCTGCACTCCTGTTAACGCACTGTGCATGTATATGTATAGGATTTAACTCTGACACATTTTCAACAGAAAGGTTCCCAAACTATGATACAATGTTTTAAAAGGGCACCGATCCACTTATTATTCATTTTAATCATTATTATTTATTATTAATTTTAATACTGAACAGATGTGGTATTTGATCTGGATGTGCACCAAAACTACAGAATCCTTCGTACTAGTTAATGGGACGTAACGTGTACGATCTTGTTTAAATAGTATATAAATAAATTATCTCCCTTCCTGTGTAATAATGGAAGTCGCGTTATATTAACACTTAATTATAAGTCGCTGCACAAAGTTGGAAATGTCTTTATGCTCACAAAGTTTTTGGAAAGTTCTTACGTTCTTACACTTTGATTATTTCAAATTATTTGACTCTATTGTAAAACCTATTACTTACATAATTATGGTACTGAAATTTATTAAAGTGAAGTCTCTGAACTTCTTGGACAAGTCCAAGTACACTATTGTAAAGGTATTCAGTAAAATTTAGTTATTACGATGCACGTGGAGAATTTGGGCGGATGCCCGCATGTATGTAAAATTATTAAATATTAATGTAAACTACTTTGTATGACAGAAAACAGATATCCTATAGTTGTAATTCAATGCTAACTAGACAAAAAATCTGGGCTACCTTAGTTAAAACATTATTGTTTACTTATAGACGGTTTTGTTTGACTATAGGTAATCAATTGGGAATATTAACCACTAATTAACCAATTTAACGAAGAATAATTAAAAAAATGTTCAACACAAAATTGGATGGAAGAAATTCACAATTATCATCAAAGTGGCACAATTTTGAAATTCAAGAGAAGTACAGAAAAAAAAAATTTGTTAACGTGGTGTGAAAAAAGTTCACATAATTATATATAATGTTATTGAATATTTTCCTAGCAAAGTGATAGATAGGCATACGGACATATGCATGAAGACGGCGTAATATTGTATATATATTTTTGACCGTTTATCATATAAGTACAGTATGGCATGCATATTACGTAATGAATGTGCATAATATCGAAACTGTCATTAATATAACTCAATGAAGATTTGTCTTAACGGAATGTACAACGAACATAAAAAGCACAGAGCATAATTACAAGTCAACACTTCAAAATTGTTTAAACCATTATACTTGTAAATTCACAGACTTGAAAAGGCAGCTAAGGCGTTCCATACAAAGATTTTTTTTAAAGATAATTAGAAAATACATCCCAGAAAAAAGGTCTACGTGATGTAAAAACAGTGTACCTAAAAAAAATACGAAATAAAAAGTCATCTATAATCATGATTGGTTAACATACACCCAAAGAACGACACATATATTCTTTGTGATATATTTTGATGTATGTTTATTAAAGTCGTTTTACATTTTTTATTTTGTCTTTAACTCATTATGATATTTTGGCATTCCTTATTTTACTGTGTAATTTTTTATTATAAATAATATTTTACATATGTTTTTAATCATGTTGCACACGTTTTTTTCACAAACCATTAGGAAGTACGTATATTGTAGTTTTTTATATTGATAGTCTTCCATAGTTATATACATGTACATGTAATATTCTCAATGCTTATACATGTACAACAGCTAATAATGTCATGAATTTCACTTTTCACGAGAAAGTCGTGCTTCATAAATGCAGCTCTTAAAGAGGTTATTCCGGGGCAATCGTAAATTGAATTTATGATGTTGTCATTTGAATAGAAAATTTTAAACTATCGAGAAAAAGCACCGTTACGTAAGACAGTCACATGGTAGTTTAAGGGTTTTTAATTTGTCGAAAGCTCATATACATGAACAATTGTAGGACCATCCTGATTTTAATTGGTTTTTGAATTGAGCATATTGATCAATATTGATTCAAACTTTGCTGGTGTTGTTTGTGTCCCAAGATCGCCAACACCACATTTTCCCCAAATTGTGAGGAAAAACATTGTACTGGACATCAGGCAGTTTTGGACAGATGGTATTCTATCCTCCATGGGCTATGGGCGGAATTTCAATTGTAACTACACTCTTGG